ATCTCTAGGTGTATAAGAGATATCCGTATTTTTTCAGATTCGTATGGGATGCAGTGCATAAGCAACATCCGAGTCGGTCCGAGGTTTCTACATCTGTATATTTTCCGATTCGTGACGGAAGCGAATCGCCGCAGTGGGCAAACGCTTTAACCGTGTGGTGTGAGGCCTAATCCACGCCATATAGGTAAACTCATTGTGGGTTGTGAGTTATGACATAATGTCATAAAATTTATTATCCTCCGTATAGTGCCAAAATTTACCAATTTTGTTAATTGTCTAACACCAAGGCAAACGTCTAAGGCTACATCATAGCGTGCTTTGTAAGACTTGATAATTTAATTTAAAATTAAGTTTATAATGAATGTGAGTGGGTGGGTGTGAAATGTTTTACCATCATGACATTGCATTATTTTTTTACTTTTTTTTATATAATATCAAATGACGGGACGAACAAAGCGTGCGCGACAGATGTATCGCGCACGCCTGTGTGTTTTTAACGACTTTGTTGCTTTAGCGCTATCTGTGAGAAATCTATGTAAGTTTTATCCTTCACTCAGAGAGGTACCTTTACAGTTACCAGCCAACTTAATTTAAAATGTCAAGAACGATGGCGGGCCTCGGAGGGAGAATGGTTGCTTCTCAATTAAGACGTCTACAGTTCGATTTACGAACATAGTTACAGTAAAGAGTACGAATTGTGAAACAAAGACAAAAATACTGACTCGATTTGTAAGAGCGGTGGCCACCGTATGACAACAGACAATGGGTCGAGTCCAGTCATCTGACTAGACTCCATTGGGTTTAAACGACACTTCTGTCGTCAGCGCCATCTGTGACAAACTTTATGAACTTTATGAAGGAACTTTTTCACGTATATTTACTTTTTCAACCTGTATAATTGTATTTTTAATTTTTTTATGTTGCCAACTGACGGGACTAACAAGTCGTACACCTGGTGGTAAGCGACACGCCTATCTATAACAGTTGCAGTGCTACTCAGAGCTTTAAATCGCAAAGAACAAAGGTATTGTCACTGCGCCCGTCTGAGACATAAGTTGACTAGTCCCATGTGAATGTAATTTCACCATACTCGACCAAACCAGAACGCAGTAATGCTCATATTACTGCTTGGCGGCAGAAATATGTAAGGTGGCAGTACTCACCTAGACGAATTCTTTCCTAACGAGCTCAACTTCTACTAAACAAAGCAATGTGTCGGGCTGTTTACAGGTACCGTATCTTTGTTTCAACAAAGCGACGTGTTGGGTTCTTTTACATGTCCTGTATATTTGGTTGGTTTGGTTGCTTGGTCGCAAAAACCTAAGACATCGACTTATATATATATATACAGTGTTTTTTAAAGTATCAAAATATACGAAGGTATTATATAAACGTTTGGTTACATCACTTAATTCTCAGATGTGTGCTAAAACGGTTAGGCGAGACTCAAATTGTTTAATGGTTAAAATAAATAACACTGACACACTTGTGCAAAATCGAATTTTCTACAAACTGCGATATTCAAAAGTGGAAACAAACATCGTGTTAGCTTGAAGTTGTTAAATTATCCCTAAATTATTATTATTTTATAAAATGTGACGATGAGGTCGACGATGGAGCATTAGCCTAAACAATGCCTATTCACTCTCGCCTTGAAAAGGCCGAAGTGATAACGTTCAGGGAACAAGTCTGCAGGCAGGGAATTCAAATTCCATAGCCGTTCGCTATAGTATAAAAGGAAGCGTAACACTTCGTGCGAATCTTTAGAATATCCACAAAATAGGGGTGGAACCCGGATAAATCGTGTATTTCCATCGCACACTCTCCGTGATATATCCTGTAAAATATCTATAAGCAGACAACTTTACTTTCCTAAATTAATAATTTGCCTATTTGTCGTGTTTACATCAACTATATTAGAATAAGCCACTTATAACATGAGTCTTCTTTAATACTTAGATATAAAATGATCCCTGTGACATTTCGGACCGTTATTTCTCGGATTAGGAATACGAATTGGAGGTAGTGAGTAAACGCTCTTATTGAAAAGAAATAGCCGTGGTCTTGACCTACCGCCTCTCAAGCAGTAGCCGTGGGTTCGAATCCGGCCTCGCATCTCTGATGCTCTCGGAATTGATGTGAGAAATTTAATTTGAAAGTTACTATGAGATTTTCAGTAAAGGAAATTATCCCCAAATTAGTGTGTAAAAACGAAATTTCATTCTGCAGTACATCTTCTTTTTTAATTTTTTTTATGGCACTTTTACCACGTGAATGATTTTTATTACACTTCATTAAATTTTGTAATGTATGTATGTATTGCTTAACTAACTAAATGCTACGGAGCAGCACGGACGTGGGTTCAAGTCCCATCGGGTCGACGAAATTTTTCTGTGTGTTCGATCTTTTGTATTCATAATCAAAACCTCAATTATTTTTACTGTAGTTTTACTAAGTTGATAGCTATTTATTATTAGTCTCGTGACTAATTGGTATTCTTTATATAAAAAAAAATATATAATACACATTTTACGGTTTACGTAGTCGTTCTCCCCAGTCAGTATTCAACTTTTGTTGGTCTGGTTCAGTGAACCATTAGCCAACACCCGTATGTCAAAGAAACGCAAGATCTGCCGAAAACATTGCCGCTGTTCGTGAGAATGTTCAAGAGCTCCCGAGGCAGTATTATTGCCTCAATAAAACACCCATTTTGATAATAATTTTTTATCATTTGCACGTGTTGTACGACGCTGTAACTTACCACGATGGTTTGTCTTTAGTGACTGAAAAATAAACAACAGATTTGACAAAAGCAGCCTCAACAACATGGCCGCTATGAACTGTCAAAACTAACCCGCCCTTGATGGAAAGCCCTTTTACTTGATGTAATAATTGCCATCTTTAAATAAATAAAACAACTAATTTTAGTTACTATTTATTGAAATAAATAAATTACGATCTAAACTACATTACACAAACCTTCGTTTAATTAAAGAAAATTACTAAATATCAATACTGGATATGTGATTCGGTTTATCATTATACTTTCACTCTTCGAAATATCATGGATTAAAATTGACATACGTGCATACATTGAACATTTTATATTCATACAATTAAAGGTGATTTGTTTTATAAATGTAATCTAAAGTAAATGAGCCTATTTCACTTTATAATAATTGTATAATTTAAATTGACATGCGCATTACTCTTTTCACAGAAGCTATTAAATTTCAACATTATTTCAAAATGTAGTGAAATAGGCTTAATAAAGTACAGCATCAATATGCAACTAAATTTAAAATCTAAATCTAATTTCTATTTGCTACATAATATATTTAAAATACATGGAAGCACATTAATTTCAGGCAACGAATCTTGTAGATATACAGATAGCGCAAATTCAAATAAATATTATGAACAAAAATATAAAAGTTGTAACTTATAATAACATAAAGACAAATTAAATAGTATATTTCTTTGTTAATATAATTATTGTTCAAAAATAATTTGTTATAATAAATAAGCAGAAACGGTTTACATAAAGTTATATAAAATAAAAATAATGTATAATAATAAGTTTCAATTAAATCTGTGGCCGTCCTGTTGTGAAAAAAAAGCATAAATATTTCGAATAAATAATATGTTCTTAAATTATGATTAAATACATTTCTTAAATATTGTCTTATTTTTTTTCTAAAGTATATGTGTATTTTAATAAACAACTACGAATGTTCACTAAGTTTTTTTTTATATATTATATTAGAAATTGACGTTGTCATAAATAGACACAAACACTACATTTTAAATTGAACACGCTCAGTTTCAAGAAGGACAAAGTTACAGTTTAATATACACAAAATTATATTTATAATGTATATGCATATTAAGATATTTTTCTATATTTTCTATAAGATGTAATTTTTCCAAAATATTTTTTCTGTAGTGTAGAGAAAATGTCTAAAAAGTACTTTGTTTGCTGTGAAAACTTACTAAGTATTGTTGCTTTAGAAAATCTACAGTATATAGTCTGTTTTCAAAATACATTGTTTAATAAGGTTGGTCTCGTTCGGAACACAGAATTGTCATATATCGAAGTAATGGTTACGTTATTGCGACCCTTTTCGATTTATATATTTACCTACATTTACATATAAACGTATCAATCTACATGTATATTATTCTGAAAACATGTTTTTATATAATAATCATAAAAACTCAATATATCATTATATTAATAAAGCATTGAACCAAAACATAAATCTAATAACATATTTTCTAAAATTACTGAAATAATATAATAACTAATAGTTAAATATACTGGTAGAGTAAAGGAAGTAAATGTTAGGCCCACATTTCCATTAATAATAATGAGAATAAATGTCTTAATACTCGAATAACTTGGATAATAATTGATTACAATATTCTTATAAATAATATTCTCAAAACACCATACAGATTCAAAAATTCAACGCGTCCCGTAGCGTGATAAATATATTTCATAATATATTTATTCTAACATAAAATGTATATTCTACGTATAATCTAAACACCAATTACTCTAACATACAACTCCTTTAAGGATAACGCAGTTATATAATATATTCTTGTAATTTGAACCAATATTATACATTGAAATATGAATCATAAAATTCTGAAATATATGAAAAAATCTTTATTGGCTTTCAGCCGACAGAGGTGTTTAGTACCCATAACAAAGTTTTTATTATCATGGAACTAAAAAAATAGTTCCCATAACAAAGTTTTATTTATTGTTATGGAACTATAAAATGACTTTCCATAACAAAGTTTTTATTGTCATAGAACTACAAGATATATTCCCATTACAAAGTTTTATTGTCATGGAACAACAAAATGCACTTTATAGTTCCACGACAATAAAAACTTTGTTATACGAACTAAATACTTCTATCAGCTTTCAGCCAATTAAGATTTTTTCTGAGTGTACCACCTTACACATTCGGCCTAGGTCCGCTGTGAAAAGCAAGTACGTATTAAAGCCAGGAAATAAAAATATAACTGCATAAATTATTGAATATTCATATATCTAAAGCATTAACCATTATGGAAGACAACAGTAACAGATAATTAACATTTCATTAAATGAAATCCACAAACATACGATCGTAATAATATTATAATCAAGATATATTTTTCTTACAACTAAAAATAACACATCTTAAAATATAGTTTAAAGTATAAACATACATGAACGCGTCGCAACGCACCCACAAAACCATTAAACTAAAACGGCATACATATAGAATTCAATATCATTTAATATATTTGAAATATAGGTGAATTCTACTAATAATATATAACTTTGGCATGATATATTTATAACCTTTGGTATATTATCTTTGGCACGTATAAAATTGGCACAAAGAAGTAATAGATATAGTTGTGTTGTGCGTGAATGATTTAGAATTTTTTTCGCCGTTCCTTCTGTTGTTTATTATTGTGTTGTTAATATTTTGCTAAAACTCTATTATAATATTATATTTGAATGAATGTAATAATACATTTGTTTTTGTATAAAATAATTTATCTGTAACAGCTCATAATTTATAGTAGCTCTATAAACATGTTTACCCCTTAGTTTTTAGAAAATTGAGCGAGTGTTTCATATATTTCTAAAATTTATTCCTTTGCATAAATATATATAATTCTGAATCTAGTGCAATATATACTTATAATAATAATATATATAGCAAAATATTAACCACAATAAGTTCATCAAATTGACACATCCGAAAACACAATGTCATTCAGAAATCTCTCATTTTCCTGAGATCTTTTAGGTCTTAAGTATTAGACTACGAGTCTAGATTTTAAGCCTTAGTGTGTTTTGCTAGTTCCTCAGCCTGCATCTTGGTGCGGAGCGTTGGTACGTCCTCTGGGATACGCACTATTGTGTTGAATTTCTGAAACAGTTTTGTTAAGTGAAGTAAAAGAATGTAGGATCAGGATAAATGTTAACAATATAAAATATGACAATGTGTATATAGAATTTCCAAAGAAATTAGATAAATCGAAACAAGAAATGGAAAAATAAAAGGTACTTACTGTAACTTATAGAAATTATGCACGTAAAGAAAGGAACACGAGTCGGTGGTGTCGATGATATGTAGAGAACGAAAAAGATGATTCACAACGAAAAAGATGATGAACATCAAGCACACTGAAAATATTACCGAAACTATAAGAAGAATAAAGAATAAAAATAAAGAAAAAAATAATGAAGAAGAAAAAAGTTACTTCCCGATTGTGCAACTAAATTTGGTTTAGAGTCAACAGCAATGATGACGATATTTAATAAATTTAAACGTAATGACGTATTTGACGTATACGTCAGATAAGGAGAAGAAAGAGCAGATACGTCTTCACGTAATAAACAAAAACCAGAATATGAATGATTGTTCAGTGAAACCAACAACATAAAGAAAATCAAAAAGTGTACAAACCTCCTGTCTCGTCCCAGGAGTGACATGCCACAAGTAAATCATATATCCAGGAATGCAGAGCATAGAAGAGAGTGCCGTAAACCAACCAAAGGCGTGTGACCACCAGGGATACTCATAGTTCATGTATTTGATTGGAGTCCATTGCACCAGGTTGAAGATGAACACGCTCTGCACAATAAAGGAAAAAACCGTTAGTGACGCACGACAAATAAATAAACAGCATATGTTCGTCCTAAATCCTATCAAAGAAAAAATAATACTTTCTAACAATGTGATTTTACTTTAGGTTCAGTTCGATTTAGATTATCATTTTAGAGATCGAATGTAATTCTATATATATATAATTTTGACCTATAGCACCTGAACATTAAATTCAGTTACTGGATTAGGTTGTAACTTAAACTTACAATACAAATAGCAGGAGTGAATCCAACCCAGCAGAACTTCCACCATATAGTTGGGTAGTAGCCAATCATTTCCTTGATGCCATCGTAGAAGCGGTTCACCCCAAAGGCCCACGAGATGGAAACACATTCGAAGAAGATCAGGAACAGTAGACAGAAACCGGAGACCGCGTAGGAATCGAGGATTTGGAACACGTACATGCCACCCTGGAATCAAATGTAGAACGATAAGTACTTTTATTAAAAGTTTAAAACCAGAAACAAAAACAATTTTTTTATGGATAAGTAACATTCGACTTTTATCTCACCAAATGGAAAGTGCTAATAAAGTCTACGATTTAAAACATATAATACCTATTTACTCTCGCCTTTAACCAACAAAAATTGTATTTAATTAATTTATGATAATATAAGTACGGCATCAATGCCTACTTAAAACACTCGATATTTTTATTAGCCACTAAATGATAATGTAACTTCTAGCTACGAAAGAAATGTTCCTAACAACTTACCTCGGATATACAAGACAAGCCCACCAGATACGAAATGAAACAAGTAATCGCAATGAAAATTTCCTTCCTCCTTCTCAACAATTTAGGCCATTCGTCAATAACAGCTGTGATGAAGCCCTCCATAGTACAGAACTGGCTGTCCAGACCGATAAGAAGAAGCATGAAGAAGAAGAGACATGACCAGAGTGGAGCGCCGGGAAGTTGGAGTACTGCTGATGGGTATGCCAGGAAAGCCAAACCAGGTCCTGGAATAGACATTTATCAAAACTATAGTTTTTTTACTGTATTATTAAGGAGTGATACGGTCCAGTTAAAATCCACCCTATAACACTAGTCTAATACTACTGGTTGCACTTCAAAAGTCTCAAGACTATGTAAAATCTCCAAATCGCATTAATCTTGCAGAATCGGTCTGTAGTTTAATAGCGATTAGTATTAATGGCGACGATATTGACTAAACTTAAGTTCTAAATCTCTTTCATCATCATCAAAGATGATATATTATGCATATATATTTTAAATATCAAACATTTCGTACTAAAGTGACTGACGCATAGTTTGCCTTTGTGCGAAATCGACATCAAGGTCAAGTAAATGTTTAAAATGGAATCATAAAAATATTACCTGATGCAGCTACTTCAGCAACGGGTCTCTGCTGTTCGTGAGCCATGAAACCAACCACGGAGAAAATGACAAACCCGGCGAACATGGATGTGCTTGAATTAACTGAACACACGATCAATGCATCTCTGAAAATAAAAATAAAATACTTGAAAAAACTGTATTTCTTGTATAAATATTTTAGATTCATTGTGCCATAATGTGTATAATAACTGGAAACTATACTCCAACATTGTTTTGTTGAAATAATTACAATAAATTGAAATGAAATTACAATGATTTACAGAGAATCACAACAACTTGCAAAATTCAAGAGTGATGGCAAAGTTAGGTTAGGTTAGCTGATTTCTGAGAATACTGTTGCTTAATATATTACAACACTACAACTTACTTGTAAACGTTATTGGTAAACTTGTTATAACTTCCCAAAGCGACCAAGGTGCCCAATCCAAGACCGTAAGAGAAGAAAATCTGTGTGACAGCGTCGATCCACACTTCTGACTCCATTAGCTTTGACATGTTTGGCATTACGTAGAATTTTATACCTTCCATGGCACCGGGTAATGTGATTCCTGTAAATTTTACATAAATACAGCATTGGATAAGCAAAAGTCAGCATTGAGGTCGCTTGGTCGCTTTTAACTCGTAGTAGGATTTTCAGACTGTACAAAACCAGTCTGGGATGACATTATTCTAACTACGTTAACCGCGAAGCAGCAGATGTAAGGAGAGCCACAGGAGTTACAGGAGACTCAAAATATTATGCTTGACAGCTGGCAATTGATTTCAGGCATATAGAATGTTTTTTTTCTGTCATAAATGTCTGTATGCGGCAGAATCACTTCCATCAGAGATATCTAACTGTTTATCAATTTGAATACAATAAAAATTAAAAATTTTGGTATACAAATGTAAATTGTTAAATGCATAAATTTAGTTTTGAGCTTAGCATTTGACTTCTCTTTCTTCTCTGAGCAAGTGCTTTCATACACAATTTAGATAACGTTCTTAATGTCTAATATTCTTACGACAAAAATAAAACTTACCAAGGGTGTCTGTCTGTCAAGTCTGTTGACCTAAAATATTCCACCCCATATAACATTATAGCTTTAAATTTACGTACCTCTAATCAAAAGCACGGTCAATAAGAAATAGGGGAACAAAGCAGTGAAGTAGACGACTTTGCCGGTCCAACGCACGCCCTTCCAGATGCAGAAGTAGCAAAGCACCCAGACCAGCAGTAAGGTGCCAGCGAGCTCCCAACGAATGTTGCCGATGTGTTCAATACCACTGGAAATCTGAAGAGCTCGGCGCCTGTTGAAGAAGGATGTTTGATGTTTTACTGCCTACTTCGATTTAAATCACCCAGCAAAATACATTCTGAAAATCCAATATGGTCAGATATCCCTATTAACATTTATGAATTACGTTAGAGTGACTTCCTTATCAAATATTCATGATTCTCCGAGTTTGATGAATACCTAATGTTTCAACGGGGTAAATGAAGTGCATTCATCGATCAGGAAATTGCGTGACTGCTCATTGAGAATAAATTTACTAAAGTTGACTCGTCGTGATCTACATTTTGGTAAAGGTAAGCGTGCTGTAACGGATATTCACAAACTGAACCCTATGGTGTTTAAGAGATAAGTTTAATAGTAGTTTATGTGACTGTTACGTAATGAAAGGCATTCAAATACTAGTGTGGGTTTATGAAACGAGCCGACAGGCGATTTACATACACTGCTTTATCTATACACACATTATAAGCTCTCTGTGATGTGTTCAGGAACCGCATGTTACGACTGGCATCTTCAAGTGATGAAAATCGTTGATCGCGTAACTGGTTCTTAATTTTTGGAAATAAATAAAAGTCAAAAAGTGGCAGGTCGGGACTGTGCGCGGGATGGCTCATAAGATCAACGTTGTTCACTTCAAAAATTCATTTGTCTGTCTGGCCGTGTGAGTACTGGCATTATTGTGGTGCAAGATGATACGGCGTTTACGGTTATTTTTATGGAGTTTGTTAATAACTTCCGGCAAACAAATAGTCGTGTCCCAAACACTATTCACGATACAACGATTCTCCAAAGCAACAGTAGTCACGCGTCCAGTTTTATATAAAAAAAGAAGCATTCGTCCGCTTAGAGACACTTTCCACGCGTGCCACTTTGGTCGGTTTCGGCTGATCTCGAAAAACTCATACGCTCGATTGCTGCTTTGTTTGGGGATCGTAACTATAAACTCATGTTTCGTCACCTGTTACTATGTCCCACACCAAATTTGATGCTCCTTCGTTGAATCTGGTAAGCATGGCATTGCACCAAGAGACGCGATCCGTTTTTTGACCCTCAGTCAAATTGTGTGGAATCCACCGAGGGCACAGCTTTTTACACCCAAATGTTTGTGTACTATTGATTATATTTGACTCATGCCTATGCCTAAAGATGCCCGAATCTCACAAGCCTGTCTGTTTTGATCATACAGCGCACAGCATCAATATTTTTGTTGTTCACAGCAGTGGATGGGCGACCATCACGAATTTCGTCACTGAGATTCACACGACCGCGTTTGAATTCTGTAAACCAGCTATAAACAGTCGTCTTGCATGGTGCTTCATCGCCAAAAGCAGTTTGAAGCCGAGCGAAGCTCCGCTGAGCTGTTAAATTACACTTAAAGTCGTAGAAATTCATACTACGAAAATTTTTATAATTACTTTTTAAATATTGTGTATGTAAGTGGCCAGTTCCGAAAACTTATGATGCGTCCTGTGTAACAAAATAGTTTATCTTTATGCTGATCGTAATTAGCGATTTTTCAACACATCATAGAAAGTTTTTGTTATGAATGTAGATAAAGAAATTTACATTTTTACACTAGCGACACAGTAAATGAAGAAATATAGTCATTTTTGTATGAAAAATAGTGACAAACAGGATATTAATACGATGTTGAACAAAAATAACTTGCTGTTTTTATCAATCGACTTCACATAATTACAAAGTACTTGTTACAGATGTAATAATATTCCTGTTGAAATTCAAAATTTGCTACTGAGATGTTTAAAACTATCAAAGCAAAAATTTACACAAAAAACCTATAATAATTATAGCTATTTATCAATTTCGGGGTGTATATGTACATATGATATTCCTAAGTTAATATATCAAATGATTCTTCTTGGAGGAATCAGCTTTGGTAATTAATATTCGTTTTTAATCATTTTGATGATTTCATGGTAATTTGCTCATTCATGGGATATTTTCAATTTGAACAAATTCGGAGATACATTTATTGTATGTATTGTTAATGCTTTCTAATTTGTGACTGTAATGACATTAGCTTTGAGCAGAGCTTAGTGAACAGATCTGCTGATTTCTTGTCAAGGAGATTTTGGTTCTACAGAAGAAACTTCTTGAATAATAATACAAGAATGTGCCAGAACACCACATCCAATTATCTGGTCTATGAATACCAGAGCAACGAATTCACTGCAGGGTCATTACGCAGAGCTAACAGACAAGAATTAGTTTAGTAAAGTTCATTTTCGAACCGGGACCACTTATCAAATGCCTACACTGCTAACCATTGAGCTACCAAGGTCAATGTGGAAATAGCTGGTGGTAAATTTAATTCAGTTGGCACAAAAACCAAACAAAGCAAAAGTGAGAATAAAAGACTTACTCCCAAAACTCCTTAACCGGATCAGAAAGCGCAGCCTTGCTGACATTCCTGCCGTTAAGCACACAGAAGGACGTCATGTTGTTGACTGAAGAGAAGCAATTGAGGTTCTTGCGGTCGTAAGGATTGACGCACGTTGCGGTGTTCCAATAGTTGTCGCATGTTCTCCAGGGGACGTCTATAGAAATGACAATAAGGACTCGATTATTTGACATAGAACAAGATATTAAACTGTATTAATAAGCCTACAGATTTTCTGACATAAAAAGTAATAAATTACACTTTGCGTATGTACCTGCTCTCATAGACATGAAGAAGTAGAAGATGGCCCACGCAAGAATGACGATGTAATAGACGTTCATCCAACATGACATCACTGCCGCCGCGTAGCCAATGCCTTGATAAATATTTCAAATATTATTTAACATACAGACACTAGGCAGATTATCTACGATTTAAAAATAGCAAATGGCCTAAGACACCTGACCCCTAGCGAACCTTTTGGTTTCGAGAGCCTTCTTACGCATTTATGCTTGAAATTTGTATTCTGTATTTAATTAAATGTACGTTCAAGATCAAATTGTTTTAAAAAATTACTTAAAACGTTATTCACTAATGATGCAATAAGCAAGTCGTGCCAAAATGAATTTTACGACTCACAGGTTAAAGCTTAAGTTTGTTTAACACTTTTCTTCACACTACATCGCATAGAAGCAAATTGTCGGTTATGGGTTCAAGTATCATATGGCATCGACTGTACACAGCAAAGAATCGACGGCTATTTTCTTTGCTATATACAGTCGACTATTGCCTTGTCGTCCAATCCAAAGAGGAATTCTAATATATGCCACGTTGCAAACGCAATGTAATAACACAAATTTAGGTAAAATCTCAAAAGTATAACAAAGTGGCCCTAACATTGCTCCCTGAGGAACGCCAATCGAATTATTCCTACAAAAACTAAGCTTCAAAATTTTATTTAATTACTCTCCATTCTCCCCGAAAGAATGATTTATAAAACCCCTTGTCTCTCGAAACCCGTTGCACTTGACAAACGGAATTATTTCCACAAAATTTGTCAAGTTTAATCACCTTTGCGAGACAACGCTTTGACAATAGTTACTGTGCCATGACCCCTGACAAAAGTTAGCGTCTATCGCGAACGAAGCAAAATTAAACAAATATAAATATACATACATTACGATCCAACTCACGTAGCTACCCAAAAAGCATTTTCCTTTTCATACGTCGAAGGTAATTTACGGAGACAAAAATATTAAAAATGGTCCTTGGTGTGTCATTTGTATCCATTGCTACGTGAGCTAAGTAACTCGTATTCAATGGAAAGCGTGCGCGATTATGAAAAATATTTATCCTGTTTTATGTTTTTCCGATTATCAGATAGTAAGCTATCTAAGTAATAAAACTTGCCCGAATTGACTAAGGTCAAGTTATTTATTTTCTTAAATTGCAATTACTTTAACTGTATTATCCACTACGTTATCTGTCAGAGGTCAGGGAACACCGGTTGTTGTATCCAAAGCCCTTTCATTTCGTACCGCAATCGCGTCTATTGTGGCATATCGCAAATTCCTTCTTGCTTTTGTCAAATTGTTTTACAGATATTTTTTGTATGTTCTTCGTTATTGGTCTGGTTTTTACTTTGAAGTCAGCCATGTTCTATTTATTTAGTTTGATTAAAACTATTTAGTTAATATCAGTCTTCAGAACAGATGCAGTTAGATCCCCATTTCCTATGCATACATAGCTACTTACATTACTACTTATACTTGACATAGTCTTTTGATATAGTCGAGTATTACTTCTTTAACTTTAATTGTTTCGGGCGGATGTCGAACAAAAACCGAAGTAGACCCCTGTTCTTTTATTATTTGTATAACAATTCGAACACAAACAAATCGAGTAATCCTCCCGCAAACATTTGTTAATACCAGAGTATACCAATTTGGAACAGAAAGTTATGGATAAAGACCGACACAAAGCCTCTGTTTAAGTAAACAGACGCGTCTATTTCTGTGCTTCAGTATTTCAAAATCCATTATCAAATTTTAATTCTTTTGAATAAGCAAATTATCCAAATTTTCACGTAAGCCATAAAATATAGTCATCATAATTATTGGAAAATGATATTGATATAAAATATTTGTTAAAAATTAGCCTTATTGAAAATGAAATTTGGGATCAAAATTAGCGTGTTTTCTTTTTCTAACAAACTAAGTTTCGGCCTCTTTATTGGTCCAATGGTCACGGGTAACTAACAAATATAAGCTAATTAACAATACGCGATTTTAGATCCAAAAAATAGCTTTAATTCCAATTTGTAACAATAGCGAAAACCTAATAACTCAACTTAATCTCAATTATTTTAACTGAAATTATTTGGAGACGTACTATTTTGTACGAAGTAAAAGAAAAAATGTACCTTTGAAAATTGGTGCTATCTTGAACACACCCAGCCCGCCAATGGTAAGCATCTGCCCCATAGCCAATTCCATGAAGAACATTGGAATACCAGCAAGAATAAGCGTAAGAAAGTAGGGGATAAGAAAAGCGCCACCGCCATTTTTGTAGCAAAGGTAGGGAAACCGCCAAACGTTGCCAAGACCAATGGCCAAGCCAATTACGGAGAGAATGAAGTCGAGTTTGCTGGACCAGGTTCCTCGTTCAGGCAGGTCCGCTTTAGTGGCCACGGTACTGAAACAAACAGTAAAACTACAGCAAATGTTTAAGTGATGTGTACTGTGTAGTTCATTATGTCTGAAATACTATTTACAACACTAGACTATTAGGCTAGTTCAAGACTATTTCAATAGTTTTTGCTTTGTTTCTTAGCCTTCCCAAATTATTCCTTTATGGTTGATGTGTTAACATTTATTTTTGTCCCTACTATTTCTACAGCAAAAGAGTACTGCTGTGATCCGAATTCAGTTTAAGGAGAACCAACGAAATCTGAATCATCGTAGACTTACGTCATCCTGCAAGCAACTTTTGCAATATTAAGGATACTTCCTAGGCACCGCTTTCCTTCGGATAGAATATTTAACTGCCTATTTCTTTAATTGATTTCGTGAAGAAGACTAAGAATTAAATAGAATATATGGGTTTTAGCCGCATTTCCCTGTCCAATCTAGCTTTATTGTGATTCCAGGTGGCAAAAGCCATATAAGAAATTGGCAACATTAACTTCCTCAAATTAAAATACCTTGTGTACTCCACTGCAACATAGAGAGTAATGATTTACATACTAAAAAAAACTAGGAAAAAAAAATACAAGGATTTTGTTGCGAACGCAACAATTTTTGTAATTTTAACATAATTTCCAAAGCAGTAACAAAACGCTGCTCGTCAAGGGCACATTACGTAGGCCTATTTTGAACCAATCGAGTAACACCACATATGTCTTTTTCATCCCTACCACATTTGTAACGAAGTTTGTACGTAACTTAAAAGGTCAAAAGGACCGTTCACTTTTAAAACTGTTCCCCTTCAGAAACTATCACTGTATCGATTTAACAGCACTACTCCTCTAACTAACCAGTCACCTATTTTAAAATATAACACAGTTAACTAAAATCGTCTTTGATTTTACGAGTCGTCGAGCTCCTGATCGTCATCTACTTTGGGTCTGGCGGCTCCAATTTTTTACTTTTTTTTTAATTTACTTACCTAGGCTTATTACTAGATCCCTGAGCACTAAGTTCGATGTCATCGGTACGCGCGTCATTCTTTGTGTCCATCTCTTTTTCTTTTCTTCGCTTTTCGGTAGTTTGTAGCTCTTCTGTTCACGTCCCTTCACTGCTCTCCTTATAGTTAAGTGAACTGTAGTAACATTTTGGAAGTACTTGGACTAGAACTGGTTGGATTTAACTGCTAGTTATCTGAAACAATACACACGAAAAAAATTATAAATAAAGAAGCATTACATCGACTCCACGAAAACTTTAATCTCGCCTTCATCCGAAAATAGAGCATCGTTTATTTGGTAAAAGAAAAGGAGAAAACGTGGAGGAGGAGGACACACGTAGGAAATAAAACAATTTTTTCGCCGATCTAAATCACGTATATTTCTTTTTTAATTTTGGTCATCTAATCTGGATCCTGCGAGAGGCCATTGAAATTAAAAAAACATTACTTAAATGATAATTGAAATTAAACAACGACTTAATTTCAACAGGGAAGATGGTTTCTGCGTACCTCCAGGTTGGTATCCAACGTTTCCTCTGATGAAAAATCCCAAGCAGACATAAGACTGCACTACTAATAATTAACATGTTTTAATTTATTCTAATTTCCTTTATTAATTTAATAGAACATATTAACGTAAACTAGACTCTTTGAAATTTGAAAATAAGGTATTTAATTAATAACTTTTGTAACTATAGAGAAAAGTAAGATGGTTTACATTAATATTAGACATAACTGGTTGATGACTTTACCATCTCAGCCAGACGTGGCCATGGGACCTGTGAAGAGTCCAAAATGTTGGTATGTTTGAAAAAACAAATATATGCGATTTAGATTCGAAATCGTTTCATTTCCCATGTATAACATCGCACAAACCTAAGAACTCGAGGACACATTTAAATACAGATCAGATAAAAGTGAAGAAGATTGCGGAGTTATACAGCGAAGTATTACAGCATAAATACTTTAAGTAATCCGGACAAGAGCAAAGTTCTTAAAAAACAATAATGACGTAAGCTATGATGGTTAGGATGAATAAATGTACTTGCTACAAAGGACAAGTTAAATGAAGACCATAACTTATTGAAGTATTATATCAATAGCATTTGTCTAAGAAGAGTTAATAAATCAAGCCAAAGGCAACTACGCCGACTTAATGCGGGTAGAGGTTTTGATTTGATTTTTACAAATCTTCCGAATTTTTAAACCAATAAAGCAAATTGGAAGCCAGTTGAATACAAAAAAAATTGACACTTGCTTGTTGTTTCTTATGTAACAACCAATTTCGTTAGCTACCAACCGCAAGGAAAAAGCTGGTATTAATTTAAGAATCGTGACGTTTCTCGGAAAATATCAGAGATAATTCAGTTGAAGAAAGTCGAAGGGGCATGAGACGTCCGACATCTTGGTCAGATGTGTTTTTTATAACAATGACCTATTTGTGTATGTATTCTTAACATGATATAAGAATATTGCGGAAAGGTTTTGGTTAGTCCAGTGGTTATATAAATGTTATATACTACTCATTGAGTAATAATTAAAACAGGACACTACGACAGCTTACAGTTAGTGTCATAATCGTTAGCAATAAAGATTGTTTATAAGAAATTAGTTATCAAGGTCTAGTAGTGGCGAAGGATGGATATTTAAAGAAGGTAAGCTCACGTGCAACACACACTACAATGCAAAACATTTCTCGTTCAAGGCTAGGTTAAATTTCACTTGATCATCGTCATCAATGGAGCATGAGTCACCTTTAAAAAGGAGAAGGTTTAGGCCATTTACAACCCAGATCTAATGTGAAGAGTCGCTAAATATATAGAGATTCTCATGTAAAAACATTGACTTACAATTATATGGACGTCGGATCCGCGCTAAAAAGTGTCCGCACTTGTAAAGCGCTAAAATCGTATACAGAGCGCCAAACTCCGCTTTAGTCTTCATTTGTTCGACTGACAGCGCGATACTGCGATGACATTACAATTTCAATTTCGAATAGGTTGACTTGGGACATTTTTTTCGTGGTTTTTGTATTAGACCCGTCGTCCATTTATTCGTAAGTCAATGTGTAAAAATCAATGATTTTTTTTATGATATCAAGTAACGGAACGAGTCGTCCATAATAGTTGCTGTGCCACCCAGAGCTTTAAATCACAACGATCTGAGAGGTACTACCACTGCGGCCTTCACCCTGAGACATAAGTTGACAAGGCCCATGTGCCTGTAGTTTTACCAGCACTCTTACCCTTCAAAACCGAAACACAGTAACGCACACATTACTGCTTGACAGCAGAAATAAGTAAGGTGGCAGTACTGCCCTAGACAAATTTCTTTCACAAGGAGTTTTACTGTTTAAGGATGCATATTACGATTCGATGTTTCTGAAGATCGATTCAAGTGTATACGATCTAGCGATTTTTTGTATCGATTCAACATTAAGACGAATCGAATCGTCTAGATTACAGGTTCACAAACTTCTTGGTTCACAGACTACTTAGGCAAGATAAAAATGTCAACGTCCACCACCACAAAACATAATTGAGAACACGTATTTATATTATTGATTTAATAATATAAAAAATCACATAAAAAAATATTTAAAAAATTATGTGTAGTTTATCATTATCATTATTTCAGTCAAAAAACGACCACTGCTGAAAGTAGGCCTCCTCCAAAGAATGCCACAACTATCTGTCCTGCGCCGCTTGCATCCAGCAGATTCCCCCAGCCTTCACCAGATTATCAGTCCACCTTGTGGGTGGTCTACCCACGCCGCGTCTATCGGTACGCGGTCGCCATTTAAGAACTCTTCGGTCCCATTGTCTTGCGAGCATTGCCACTTAAGTTTTGCAATTTTTAGGGCTATGTCGGTTACTTTGGTTGCCTTTCGGATATCCTCATTACTGATTCGAACTGGCTACGAAACCCCGAGCATAGTCCTTTCCATTGCCCTTTGAGTGACCTTGAACCTTCTTATGAGGCCCATAGTGTGTGTTCAACTTTGAACATCATGTATTCAACAATGAAACGCATAATCGTAATATACATTTAAACTGTCATAAAAAATGGCCTCATCATCAGGCAACAAGTGCAACATAGTAACATAATTAACTACTTAACAAAAATAGCTTCGTCAGCAACCAACACACATAGCACACTAAAAAAATCTATAGTAATTTATTAGTCATAAAAATTGTATAAATAGTAATAAGAATTGTTAATATACTCAGTTATACACTACCATCGGATTTTACTTCATCAAACTCATCATCCTGCTTAGTACTACTAAGCCTACCCGCTACTCCTCTCACTGTGACCAAGACAAACTTAGCCGTCAGTAGATTGGTCTTGTGACTGTGCTTGACCGGCAGTGAGAATACCATTCCGGTACACATTACACGACGTGTACTTCCTTATCTCCTTCCAACCTTCCGTTTGTCACCTTAGGTCTGTTGGTGACAAATTTCCTATCTTGTATATATATTTCTCCGTCTATATATTTATGGTTAGGTTAGGCTACACACCGTTATGTTGTAGGGCTACATTATAGGTTTCACCGTTAGGGTTAATAGGATTGTTTATATTTTTTATCTCAACCTTACTGTAATTTCATTCACAGCAGGCGGTTGGTATTTGCTGTATACAACACCACACACTACATTGACAGACAAGCACTACCACCACATCAATACCTAACCGCACGTTGTTCAGTGAGCGACCACGTCTCGGTGCTTTAATTAAGTCATCACTGGCAATACACGTTGGTCGAAGACTTTTGTCTTGTGTAGTTTATAATAGGTACTTAATCCATTTTTTTTTTTCAAATGCGATAGCATCCCCTTAACAGCATCAATATCCCCCAATTGCTTCTGAGGCCCCAACCGCACTTAGGACTCTTCATCGCCGACTACGTGTCGTATTCATCATTTAAACAAAACAGTCTCTCTGAACCTCGACTGAATCGTAAAGTTAATCCTACTTTATATTGGTCTGCAAGAAAAGTAGTTTGTCAACACTGCCCGCTTTGTCATAACTGACGCATTTGCAGTTCGGTAACTTTCGAGATATTGGTACCTAAAGTTTTTTTAACGGTAAAACATGCAAATTTAGTTGATTATGTTTAACAATAAAACTGAAACTAAATAAGATAAAAAAACTGATTAGAGGGGGTTGTAGATCACGTTTCACTGATCTCAGATAAAGTTATTTACACAATGTCGCAAAAAATGTCGATTACGTTAATTATGATAAAGAGGGCAGAACGTCGGAGGACAATAAGTCTGCAATACGTAGCGATTGTCGCTATTTCTGTGCCATGAACGTCCCTTTTCACTGGTTAATATCACTCTTAATGACAGTCGTACCGACTGAAGCCGAAAAGGCGGTCAATATTATTATTGAGATCGATTGAAAAGCTTATGATCCATTACGATCCAAAAAATCGATTAAAAACATCATGCATCCCTACTACTGCTACTAAGATTTGACCTCCATCTCACTTGATGGAAAGTGATGTTGAGGTCGACGATGGAACATGCACACCTAAATAATGCTTATTCACTCTCGCCTTGAAAACGTCCAAGCTACTCGTATAACGTTCAGGGAACAAGTTTGCAGGCAGGGAATTCCACTCCATAGCCGTTCGCCATATAAATGCGGAAGCGTAACGCTTCGTGCGAATCTTTAGAATATCCACAACATAGGGGTGGAAGCCAAGCCTACGCGTAGTCCCCCGATGATGGAAAAAGGGAAGTGGTTATAAATTTTAACCAAGCAAGATACAAAGGTTTTTACAACATAAATGGATTGTTGAATTTTTATAAATTACATACCAATAGCTGTTGTGATAATATACGTTATCCCTATGGTTATAAATAATAATGTAGGTAATCTCAAGGAACTTTAGTTAACGTTGGCACCCACACAGATCTCAACTCATTTATCAGCGAAACCGACGGACCCACTTCTTCATTGTTCTGTAATGACTCTTTATTCACAAGCATGCGGTTAGTGGAATCAAAATCTGTATTTATTTTTTGTTTCTTTTTGGAGGTATATAAAAATTTGTGACCTTAAAATTTTATGATGTACAGGACGTAATCACAGACATTACCTAATGAATAAATTGACATCAATTTTTTTTATAAATACAAGTACATAATATCGAAAATATTGACATTAATCGCTCCCATTA